AACGAAACCATATAATTTCTTATTAAAAGCATATCAAATAAAGCTTTTAAAATAAAAACTCAAATTGTAAACATAAATAGATGATTACTTTAAACAACAACAACAATTAATCAGATATCCATCTATTTCCTCGAACCCATAAACCCCTCACCAACTTTTTTCTGTTTTCTCTTCATAACCAAACAAAATAATTAAAATTGAATATGCAGATACACAAATATCTCCATCTAAGGCGGTTGAGTTAAAACTTTCAAACTATTAATTCATAACACACCCCTCAACTTTCATCACTTAATAAAAAACCACCCTTAAACTCCCCAACAAATTTTTAAGACAATCCCAAACTTTTATCCACTAGACCAGGTTATAACACGATATGAGTTTTTAAGGGATTAACTATTTGAGAGCTTATATATTGTTATAAATGTGAAATTTTTTATTTTAAAATACTGTCGCACATGATTTTTTTTTTCATCTAATACTAATATTTAATGTATTGATGAACATATATTTGTTTCACAATGTGTTTGGTTCATATGAATGGAGTTTATAATGTGAATTTTTTTTAAATGTAACTTTCATTTCACAAACATACTAAAAACGTTCATATTATGACAAAAATACATGTGAAACAAACAAGTTCACATTATGACATAAATATTTGTGAAACAAACATATTGTGAAATAAATATTTGTTAATCAACATTGTAAATCTTAGTTTTAGATGAAAAAAACATATAAAATAACATAAAATACACCGGTTCTTAAAGTTACTACAATTTTATAGGTTCTCTCCCCACAGATTTTAGAATCCGTTCAAACTTTGATTTTTGCTATTTAAAAAAAGATAAAAATGAATATCATAAAGCTTAGATTATATATATATATATATATATATATATATATTATTAAATTTACATTTAATATTTTAATAGTTGTAGTTTTAAAATGTTATATAAGGTTTTAATAAGTAAAACTCATATGCTTTATAATATAATATATATATATATAATATATTTATAAATGAATGAATATATTCATGTATAAATTGAATACGTACCTGGGAGAAATAATTGAAAGCGATTTGTGCTGTTTTGTCGTCGTCTCCCTCGTGGTCCTGTCCCTAAGAGTCAGTTTCTATCACAGCATGATGCAAAACTTCTATATATAATATATATATTGAGAGAATATATATATATATATATATATATATATATATATATATAGACTTGAGATCATATGAGACCAATGATTTTTCGTGAGACCCGCAAGACCAATTCTCATCCATTGAATTAGATCTACAATCTGACAAAATATAAACATTCATAAACACCACGAGATTTCTCAATAATTACAAAATTGTCACTTTGTAACTTTAGACTATTAGATCATTAGATTATAAAGTTGATCAATGAACATAAATTGGTCTTACGGGTCTCACGAAAAACCCTTGGTCTCACGTGAACCCAACCCTATATATATATATATATATATATATATATATATAAGAGAGAGAGAGAGAATGTTGAATTTGGGTGAAAATGGAAGTTATGGTGAGATGAGAAGTATAAGAAAAGATTTGCACCCTTAAATCAATCATAACTGAATGTCAACACTAATGAAGTGCATCGAGATGCAGCGGATCAATTCTCTTCTAAAACGCAATTCATTGATTGACATGATATTATAAATGATCAATAGTTCAGATCTCTTGTAATTCTTACAAACCATTATATTAAGAAACAGATGATATATATTTATGGACAATTATCCTGACTCATAAATTATAAAGATGATATGGTTCATTTATTACGAGCATAATTTTGGATTAGAAAACAAAACAAAATCAGATTTTTGTTAGACTAGATGGATAACTAACATTGAAACGAGAATGCTAACTATTTAAATAAGAAAATATAAAAATGACCAAATCACGTGTAATATCACATGTGATTTTACATTAATGGCTAAAAACGTATGCGGACGACCTTACGACAGCGTCTTCAGGTCGTGGGGCAAGGTCATGTAAATCACATGTGATTTTGTATGTGATGTTAGTGTAAAATCACATGTGATTTGGCCATTCTCTTATTTTATTAAATATGTATCGTTTTCGTTTGAACCCGACTATATATATATATATAATTATTTACATAATATTTATTAACATGGAAATAAAAGAAAAGTGAAACAATATCAATACCTTTTTTCATAACCTTTTCTTTTTTAATTTCGATTAACAATCTAACATGATCGTCTCGACTTAACATCTATTCGATCAATTGCTCACGCAACTCGTGACTAATGATGTGTTAATTTGTCAGTATTAGCACTGCTTTTGAATGTTAAACAAGTGTGCACATGTTTTGTGATTGCATTATTGGTGTTTCTAGATCTAAAACTAAAAGCCTTTACACCATGTGGACGAAAACGGTTGATGGGACTCAAGCTACTTCTTCTATATTCGACATTACTTGCCCTCAGAGTTTGTCAGGATCGTGAGCGTTCACTTGATGTGTGTGTGTGTGTGTGTTTGAGAGAGAGAGAGAGAGAGAGAGAGAGAGAGTACATATGAAATGACAACCGAAAGGTAGAGAATTACAAAAGGTCATGTTGGTTATATACATTTACAATCAATGAGAACCTAATTAAATCAATTAAAAAATATCAACGACTGATATAATATTATTTCAAATAATTATTAGTCTAGTTACTATATATAAATTCAAATTTCATAAGAAACGATATTAAATATTAATTTGTGGTTGTTTAAATAATTCAACAATCAATAATTTGACTGGTACGATTAAGCACAATGAAATAAGATAAGATCGTACATGATAAGATGTAGATAGATTTGACAAATAAATTAATTGTATCACTTACACATGTTATAATTCGTCTTTTAGATCGAATCCAATCTTGATCTAATTAACCGAATCAAAATCATGTGACGATTCAAGTATTTCTAAAATTTACCGCACTCACAAGAAACCCAGTCCAGTTCATCTGAATTCAATTAAAATTTTAGGGGTAAAAAAACTTCAAAAGGTTTATTATTTTAATTTTAATAAATGAAAATTTTGATAATTAATTAGTAATTATTCTACTTAAGTATTTTATTTACAACACAACACATACTTTTTTTAACTTGAAAACAAACATTTATTTGGTTATAAACTTCTAATTCTTTTATTGAATTTATGAAGTCTTAAACATGTTTATTTGAATACGTTTTCGAAATTAGACAATTAAATGAAGTATTTTGCTTTCTTTTCGATTATCTATACTACATACCTTATAAACCAAATTTATCAAAAGTCTTAAAAACAACTCATAATGCATTAAATACTACTATTTTATGCATTCAGTCTTAAAATCTCTTAATCTACAATTAAAATAACATATAGTACAAGTTATCAATGCACACATTATTACCTTTTTTTTCATGTTCCCAAGATACTTTTGACATTTTCCATACATTTCTGTCTTCTCCACATCCCTCAATATGAGTTTCAAACTCATATTCACCATGAGTTATTAAAAGTTCTCTCATTCAATTGCTTTAGAATTCTCGATTATTTTGGTTAAATTTTTATGATATATTTAAATTTATATTTTATTCAAAAATAAAAACATCATCGTTTTTTTAAAATCACATAAAACCATACTATAACATCGACTAAATAAAGAATAAAATAAAATATTAAAATCAAGATGTATCTCGCTGTATTGCGATGTACCCTTCTAGTATAATTTAATAAACCGATTTATATTTGTAAGTTTTGCTTAAAAACACATGATTGGACTGATTCTCTTCACGTTGAATTAATAAGACAAACATCAAAAGTCAATCATTGATTTTCTTTAATTTCTACTTTTACGCGTGGTGTCTACAGTACTAGAAAGAAAAACTAACAATATATAAAAACGAAAATAAATTTGAGGATTTGAAAACCTAACTAATTACTTTTTTATTTAATTATTTAAAATAACTATTGATTAATATTCGATCTGAATATTTATTTAAAATTATCATAATTCGTCATATTAATATAAGCGAAGCATAGTGAACCGAAATTAACACACGTAATTCACTAGAGGAGGGTTGTTTTCCAAAGAACACTTCATATGAAGTTTCATTACCGAAAGTACTAAAGGATGTTCGATTGATTAAACGAGCAACGTCAAGGGCACATCCCCTCAAATATCAATCGGTAGACCACTTTAAATCTTAGTGCATGCAGAATCAACATTAAGAATATGTTAACGTTTCTTTTCTGTCGAGCCATTTTGTTAAGAAGCATTTTGTTGCCCAAAAAAATACACCTTTAATTAATTACGGAGTTAAATTCAGTACCGTTATAAGTTGCGAAAATTGTTAATCAATCATACCAACAAACATCTTGAACAATGGTTTTGTCAATTTACGTATGGACCCATATACAACACGAGATAAGTTCATCCACTAATGTCAAAAGAACACATAGCAGTACAACAAGACAAGGGTATATCACATGACACCCACAAATCACAATGCACCAACTCAAAAATGCAACTATATTCATCTTCACTTTACAAACCCTATCCCTAAACTTCACACATGCTTTATTCCAGGTATTGCTACGATTCTTAGGAGAAGGAAGCGATTTTACTACTTCTTTTTTGGAAGGATCGATGACGTCATCTGCTATGTCTGTATCTCCAAAAAAGTTAGAGGCAGCCATTGAAACTGTTTTCACCACCTCTATCTCCTCTGGTAAGCTGGTCCATCCCTTTTCTCACATGTTCCAATTGATTGTAAAAAAAAGAGAGAACATTTTGAAAAAAGATGACGTCACTGATTTTTCCAATTCATGGCACTGCAAAGGAGTTGTATTTATATAACTCACCAACCAAATACCAATTGTTTCTACCATTTCTCCTACTTCGCTCCAACTTTCACCCAAGTTTACTGAATTTACCATAAACGGCACCTCCGCTTGTTCAAGACATTCACTATGTCACAAGCTTCACTTCAAACCCGTCTCAAATTCATCCTCCAAAGCCGCCCGGAGAGGTGGCTTTACGCCATATTCTGGCAAGCTTCCAAAGAAATTGACGGTCGTCTTGTTCTCTTGTGGGGTGACGGCTATTTCCCCGGCACCAACAGTGACTTGCCGGATTCTAGAAGAAATGGTCATGGTCACCTGATGTTAAGTTATGATGATGATGTTTCAGATTCCCAGTGGTTGATTATGTCTTCGGTTGAGATGTGTTTTCCGGCCGGACATGATGTTGTTGGCCGGAGTTTTAGTTCGGGATCTCATCTGTGGTTGGCTGGGGACGTAGAATTAAAGAAGTACAAAAGCAAAAGAGCTGAACAAGTTAGGGCTCATGGAATCAAGTCCTTGGTTTGTATTCCCACTTCAAATGGTGTGGTTGAGTTGGGTTCTTGTGATACTGCCAAAGAAGACGTAGGTCTAATCCAGCTGACGAAATCCATCTTCGAACCAGATAGTTTTTTCAACATCAACCTCGCCCAGATTGTTGATGAATGTGAAATCCCTAATCGAGGTATCATATTTTCAAGTATAATTTACAGTTCTCAAATCTTTTCCCCCAAATTATTTGGTCGTTTTCTGTGAAACCCATGAAGAAAGATTGAAGTTAGGGATGATTAGATCGAGTTAACCACTATATAACATAAAAAAATCAACTATTGATCTGGGTATTCTATGATCGTGCTAGCTTTTGGGTAAATTAATTAATAATTCTTTGTTTTGACCAATGATCACCAGGTATTTGGAATCAAGTGAGGGAAGAAGGACAGGAAGAAGTGACATTGAAGAAGATGAATATGTCATCTTCGAATTCAGATCCATTTGACCTCGACAGCTCCTCGCCGTCGACTACCAACATTACAAGTTTGCCAAAAAAGAGAGGGAGACGTGCAAAGGGAGCTACTGCACAGCCGGCGGAAGTTATGCCACCAGGATATCACGTGGAGGCCGAACGGCAGCGAAGGGAGAAGTTAAACCATCGTTTCTACGCCCTACGAAGTGTCGTTCCTTACGTTACAAAGATGGACAAAGCATCTCTACTGGCGGATGCAACTACGTACATCGACGAGCTCAAAGCCAGAATCCAAACATTAGAAAAGAAAGTGGGATCARAATCATCACAGATAAAACCGCCACAAAACGAAATCCAGATGAACTCCAACTATTATGACTATAATCCTATTCAAAATTCAAGAACTGTCTCCAGTAATCCCGCAGCAAACAGATTTGAAGTCGATGTGAAAATACTTGGATCCGAAGCCATGATCAGGGTTCAATCACCGGACATGGACCATCCAGCAGCGAGGTTGATGGATGCACTTAGAAGCCTTGATTTAAGAGTTCATTATGCGAGTGTTTCAAGTGTGAAAGATTTGATGCTTCAAGATGTGATTGTGAAGGTTCCTGATGGATTCACAACTGGGGAAGAAACCTTGAGAGTTGCTGTTCTTAAGAATATGTGCTTGGATTAATCATCAATGTCCACGTTTCTTCAATCTGTTCTTCCAGCTATTTGATCAATATTGTCAATAATTTTAGCATCGAACAGTGCTTATGGTTTGAATTAGTACATATATTATTAGTTCCGATTGCATCTTAATACAAGTATCTGCTTCATAAACCAATGTGGAATGTGAATTCATAAGCTTTTCTACTTGAATTCGTAAACTCTAAAAAAGGGAATAAGTATAGGGACATGAAAATCGAAAACGGGTACCACGTTGGTTACATAGTTGATGAAACATGGAATTATCATATTATCTCCCGTTATCGCATTGAAACGTTTTAATTTCTTTTTCAAATTGAGTTCGAATGTATTACCGAAGTAGTACGAAAAACGAGAAAGTTCGAGTTTTTTGTGCCATGGGGAAAACCCACACAAAATTGGTATAGTTATCCATAAAAGATGGTACCTACGGGTGCTCGAACTCAACGAGGTCCATAAGTCACTATGTATAATACCAAATGGAGCATTAGAAACTAAAAGAAAGGCAATTTTATTATATTTTCCAATTTGAGAAGAAACACAAACACTTGGAAAAGACCTATGACTAGAAATTAAATTATCGCTATGGAATTTGCTATATAAGAATATTAGAACCATGTTGATTAAGTCGGGCGTGCCAAACAGGGACGGACACTTTATTAGTGGTTACGGTGGCATGTGTCCCTGTATTATTTCTCTGTCGAAGGATTAAATTTTTTAGGATAAAGATCTCATGTACTGTTGAACCGAAACTAGAAACAAAATTATCTTATGTAGATCATTCACATAAAACCCATAAGGATCAAATTCGACAGAAACAAAATTATCTTTCGTAAACTGACGAGCCGAAACTAGATTTTTATACTGTCTAAACTTATAAAATCCTAGTTGTGATCCCAAAATTTTAAAACGATCGACAAACATTTGAAATCTAGATCGGATGATCAATAGTATGCAAAAAACATCGACAACATTACAAAAAACATTTGAGTACAAAGCGTACAAATTTCAAGTGTTGTATGAATTATTTTCCTTCGACAACGACAAGACTAATTCACTAAACTTACGATGTCAAAAAAACATACCCTCAATTTTTTTAAAAGATACGAACATCATGACAACAATATTTCGTTTTATTTAAATGATAATAGCGTTTGATTTTTAGCTGACCAAATACAGAAGATATGATTTTTTTCATCCTTTATATTTAAATAAGAGAACTTTTCTATAAAAGTAATTAATGTAGTTCATAGGCAGCCAGAAAGATGACACAATATTCCACCAATATATTTCTATCACAAAATATTACACATGTCGTTTTTATAATTTCCAGTGATCAATAAAAATTTGTACGGTCTAAATTTATAAAAGCCTAATTGCAATCACAAATTTTTGAAATCGACAAAAATCATCCAAATTACAAGAAAATAACATGTAAAAAACGGGCACGTTCCATAATTAATACTCTTTTTTCTATTAATTCTGTAAGATCCAAACGCCCAAACATTCTATCCAGATCCATTTCTCTCCTTTTAATACAGGATAGAACAATTTTTCTTACTCTTCTCAGGTTAAGCAGGAGACCGTATACCGGGATATCATCTATCATTTTTTGATTCAATTTACCCCTACGTCCAT